TACGCGTATAAAATTGTGACGTAGCCTGAAACAGCTTCGGAATGTCGCTTATTGGTCGATATTAAAGTTGTGTGCCAGTAGCAACATTTGGGGTTGTCCCTGGATGGAAGGCTGAATGCTGGAATTTTTATCCTTACTCGTATTATTGGGACAAGTCTGGAGTATCCGTTGAGTATCTGTTTAGAAATGGTGTATAAAAATGTCCCAGCGTTTCTATTTGTGATGAAAAAAACGGATCTTTTTTTTCAGAGAAACGTGATGTGTGTGTTTCGGAGTTAATACATGTGATTATGGGGAAGATGTATTTGTGATACTTTCTATATAATTTTGCGCGACGACCAACTTTACAATCAACCACAGTTTTCGTTTTGAATGACATTTGGTATTACCATCTACATCATTGTGACGTCACAGAAGCAATTCGTCCATTGTTGTATTTTTCACAGCGTATCTGAGATGTGGCATGTGCGTGACTTACATCCGTAACGTGTGTACATACAGTCAGGATATACCAAAGGATTTGACTACGTTCACACAAATAGTCTTACACGGGATTATAAACATTTAATTTATTCATGCATTGGATACCCTTTAAGGTACAAGTCTGTACATGAATACCTGGAAATTATTCATTTGCAATAAATTGTACCCCGGGAAACATAAGGATATTGACTTTAAAAATGCTGGTTTACTAGCCTATCGAGAAAATGGTGGTTGTGTTTTAGTGGATAGTGGCCATTTTGTCAGTATTATAACGCTTTTACCAAATGTTCTCATGGCAAGGATATTATGCCGTATCTCAAAGTATAAGCTGGTAGCATAGGCTGAACAAATTCTATATTGTTATATATTTCCAAATAATTTTTTTTAAAAGTGTTAACAAATGCAATTTGTCATTGTTTTTGTTAATAATTAAAGCAGTTGCAATTAATGAGCAAATAAACAAAACGATATTGTATTTGTTTTGGGGCGCTGACGGCACAATCACCGATGGTGACGCAAATCGAGTCAGAACACGTTGACGGGCTCCGCTTTGATTGGCAACAGTTACAAATACCCCACACGATTCATTAGCTCAATGACTTACACGGCCTGAGGATATTCCAAGAACGTACTATGAAAGCAGGAATAGCTTACCCCGCCGGCGTGAAAAACAAACTTAATATTTACATCGCTATTTACCCATTGTCGCTATTTTATACTTATATCGAACGAAGTCGAAACCACAACAGTCAAACATACTAAAAATAATACACTTCGTCAAATAAGTTCACAAAGGCGTGTTTAAAATAAGTTTACAAAATTATGAAATAAACATACGAAACAAATAATCTACATTTACATATTAAAACTTTTTTAATATGTAAATTTCTTGTGCTGGAATTCAATTCCAAGAGTACCTGCATGCACTGTTATATTAAAAGGGAATTTGATGCCTGCAATTCCAATAAAAATCGAATTCTCGTTATTTATGTTTATTCCACATTCTTGTAATAGTTTTTGTCTTTAAATGTGAAATAATGTACATTCTACAACGAAATGTACTTTACCCTCAACCGCATCAGCTTCACATTTTCCGCATAGTCTGTTTTAAGTTCAGCTTCTGATTTGTGATCACTTGGAAATTTTTTAACTTAAGTTTTTAATGTCAAAACAAATAATTGTTAAAATGATATTCCTGTTTAAACAATTCATAGGTTTTCCAATCAACATGACAGTGATTTATTTGCTCCTTAATCAAAAACAGTTGTCGATTCGACCGGCATTACCATTATCTGTTGATAGTTTTGACGTCACAATAGCACTCCGTCACTAGATGGCGCAATTTATAGGAATGGCGTATTAGACAGAATATCCGATACACCAGAAACTTGCAAATTGTATTTCCCTAAATCCGGGTTACTTCGCATCACACCCCAAGCATAAATGCCTTAAATAAAATATAACCAGAAAATAATTATCTGCTCACTAGTTCGCTTTAAATTTACTGCGTTATGAATTTCACATAAAACATAATCTTTGTAACGCATTTGGCTAATCGTACCTACATTATTCCAGTCGCCGTAATTTCAGTCGGTCCGATGTAGGCACGACTGTTACTCTACAATTATAGTCATTTACATATTTATAACGATTATAAGACGTACTAGAACCGATCTCACACTCCATTCTCAGTCATGTTTTTTTTTTTTAAACGCACATACATATTAACTTATTTGAGCTATTTAGAATCACAGTCCCTCTAGAGGGACTGTGGTAGAATCCACGTCACGACTGGCTGGTCAGTTCAATGTTGTCGGACCGAAATTCAAGTCCACTGGCAGTTATGTTCCACGTAACAAAGAGGTACAAAAAAAATAATGCAATGTGGCAGTTTAACCGGAACTTATTACAGTTGTTGTTTATAACTTCATTTAAAGCGCGGTGGTCGTCGCGCAGCGCGTGTTCGAATTTAATGTAAATAAACAATGTATTTTACACGCGTTGTATACGTCGCTATGAGTCCCATTTCGAACAGGACGCGACACGACTGCCGCCCTTTAAATATCCCAGTTTGTCGATTTACTGTTTAAAATGACATATATTCTGGATCGTTTCAACTTGATCACTCTTTTAACGAATCCCTCGTTTAACAAATCCTGTTAGACTTGTTTCCACCAAACAAAACGTACTAGGCAATGGAACACTTTCACTAGTGAGTCAAAATGCAAATCAAGTTTTTTTGAACAGTTTCGTCAACAGACACATGACTCCCCCGCAAAACACTGACTCTCACCACGTGAATGGTGGGAAAGAACGTCAAATCCTAGAATACAACGAAACCAATGATATATTCTGGACAAACCGATTCATCCACTTAAGTTGTCGTCTACTTTTTAAGCAAGAAGATAATCTTATAATGAACGTATTCCATTACAATAATGGTTTTCTTTCGAGTTGTTAACAGAGCGTGATAGCTAATTGACCTTGATTTTCACCACTGTGCCCTGTATGACAATAGCACATTGTGCTAAAATTCCTCAAGCAATGCGATGATTGTTCACCATACTCGTGTTATTGCTTTATACACATTTTAGGGTTTAGACAGACACT